AAAAAATTATTTATTTTTCCATTCTTTATAGGTGAAAAAAAGATGGGAGATGCAAGGGTAAGCATTTTCTATCTGGCCATAATTTTACTTAATTAGGAAATTATGAATTTTATTAATTTATGCTAATTTACTATACGGAAACCCTAATTACTTCTTAGTACTTGTATATTTTCTAAATAAATTTTTGTTGATTAAGCTTGTGTAAAATTGTTTAATTTTGAGAATTCATTTTTATATCCTTCTGTTCCAAACTCAATTTGTACTCAATTATAAAAATCTTAAAATAATTTTATTTACATTAAATGTCCTTCTATTAATAAATATATTTAGTCTTAGCTATTTAAATTAATATTATACATTTTTATATTTAAATTTTGAATTGTTCTCAATCATATCTATACATTTCTTATCCAAAATCACAATTTTCCTTATTGATATATATATTACATACTATTTATATTTATAATTCTGTTTTTATAATAAGATATTAATTGAAATTAATAGTCTAAAAAATTACTAATAATACTTTACTAAAACTAAGTATATGAATATGAAAAAAACAGATTAATGTGATGAATTCACATAATTCAAATCATCTATAGATTATTAATCACATGGATGTACTCAGACTGGGAAAACTTATATAACACAAGGATCTTTTGGAAAAACAATAATACCTACTCCTGTTACTCTTACACTAAATTGTTCATTAATAGAGCCATCCTACTATTTTGGATGTGCCTTGATTGAAAAAAATTTCACAGGATGTTCAGCTCAATGTGAAAAATAAACATTCTTACTACTAAAACATATCTTAACTGTGCATAACAAATGGAACATCACATACAAATGCACTTAAAGATTTTGGATATACTAAATAATAATATGAAACCGAAGAGTCCTTTCAAGTGGGTTGATAAATTATTGACTTTTATTTGGCTATAGCCTTGATAGAGAAGCATGTAGATATGATAATTGTATTGAGGCTGATTATTTATTTACAACTCAAGTAGCTTTTAATATTTTGAAAACTGGTTGTAGCTGGATGCATTGATATAATTCCAGAATGTAGTATTAATAAGGAACTTCAAAAAGATGTTCAAAGTGGTAGGATCAGATATAAATTGTGAATTTAATCTTGAAGGTAATAATTGTAGAGCTCATGCGTTCACAGGCACTGATACACTTAAGACTAATAAGAGTTGCCCTTTGTACTAGGATAAATGTGTAACATCAGGAAAGGGATGTATTGGAACAAGATTTGGAAGTGCTATAAGTTTTACAGGATGTAGTGTTACAGATGGAGAATGAGCTGGAGACGCTACAAGTATTAATGTAGAGCTAGATTATGCAATGAAAAGAAAGCAACAACTGATGAAGAATGTAGTAGATGGAAAGCTAGATATAAAATAAATGGAGGATAATGTATTGACTAATTAATTAATAGTAAAATAAATGAGGGAACAATTACTATTTGGGGTTTATTAAAAGTATTAGATAGCAATTGTAAAGAAACTTAGATAACAACATTTAATTGCGCTGTAAAAGAATTTAATGATACCTTTAAAAACTTGAAATATATCCTTTCAGGTTGGGTTACTAATTGTACAACATTTTTCAATGAGCTTTTATCAGTGATTTGGTATCTATCTTATTTCCTCAATCTTCATCTTATTCAAAAATAGTTTCATTTAATCCTATTTTTAATAAAACACAATTATTTATTAGGAGAGATTATTTAAAGTTTAAAAATTTTTTTTTTTTTAAATATCAAAGGAACATAAGATTTTTTCTTAGTTCAATAATTTTAATTTCTTTTGGTTATTTATAATTTTCACAAAGACAAGATCTTCTTGACTAATATTGTGAACCAAAATCCCAATATTATGAATTTTTTATTCCCTTATAATTTTATGACTGAATAATAAGAATAATAGTAAATTTGATGAACTCTAATTAAGAACTTAAAATATTTTATTTACTTCATGCAATAAGTATTTTTTTATAAGATTCCAAATATTAATCATTCATAATTTAAGTTAATTAATTATTAATTGTAATATTGTTATTGCACAAATATAATTCTAGTTTTTTTTCAATTAAATGTCTTGATTTTTGATAAACAAATATAATAAGTGGAGAAACTAAATTAGATAATTTAGAAAAAAATTTTCTTAATGCATCTCATACAAATTAAAAATATTGAGTACAATATTCTTTATTCATAGAATATAAAAAATTAAACCAAACAGACCCTAAAGGCTCATTATATAATATTGCAAAAGGTACAAATATATACCATTTAATATTAAACAAGCCCTAGAAAGCATTCTAAATTAGAAGATTATCATAAAATTATAAAATTAACAGTAGAATATGTATATTAAACCCAAAATCTAATCTTGTTCTTTCTATATAAAAAAGGAATCATGAATAAATTTAATGCTTAATGGAAATAAATTATTCATAAATTTCTTTTTCGTCCAAAATAAAGGGAAACTATGATATTGAAATAAAAATTAATTGGAAGCTGCCCTCAAAAAATGATAAAAAATCAATGGAAGTTAATTATCACTCGTTAACATAATTTTAACATTATTTTACCATCATTTCGCTCAAAATTTATGTCCAGGATAAATAATGGATATTGATACATAAAGTACTTTTTTTTATGTAGACTTATGTTTGAGGGAATCTTCAATTTATCAATTCATATGAATTAATCGCTATAATACATTTATTAAAAATAGTAAAATTAAAAGACTTTAAATCAGTGATAAATCAGAATAATCCTGACAAAACATCAGTATAAAAATGATTTACGCAATTACTTGACTATTCCTTATTCTCTTTATATTGCATAGCAAGAATTGATAATTTATATTATTATTATTCAACAATCAAATTATTTTTTTTCACAATTATTTTTTCCTAATATCCATTTTCACCCATGTGCCAACTTTATTTCCATTTTTATATTCACCTTTTTAAGTGTATAATTAATTAAACTCAAAATCATCATCTAACTCAATCCACTACCCAGCCTTTATTGAACCTCCTTATACCTCATAATACAAGCCTCCGCCGCTAAAACCTTTACTATTATTTATACATTAATTCATAAGTTTCTCTTTCTTCCACTTTAAAAAAAATATCCCATCTACCAATTTTGTTACCATTTTTATATTCACCATTGAGAATGACTTGTTAATTATTTTCAAATCCATCTTTCAGCTCTCTCCATTCACCATTCCTTTGGCCCTATTCATTATACAATCCACCACCACTAAAAAATTTTTTATTTATCTTTTNCATACAAAACTTTGTTTTTACTCTACTGAATTCTTTCATTAATCGAATATAATTATTTCTTAGAAGAAAGCAATAATTTTTAACATTTAAGGATTTGCTATATTTTGTTTGAATTATTTAAAATCAACAATATCGATTTGATCAATTTAAGTTTAAATAACTCTCTTATGAATATAATTAAATGATAGTTTTCTAGACAATTTTAGTATATGGAATAATTTCTTAAATAAATTATAATCATAATGTTTTCTTGATTGTTTCAAGGTAATTTCTTAATGAGGCATTACTATGAAGAATAATTTCAATCAAACCTTATTAGAAAATAAAACATATTATTAATTGCTTAATATTTTCCTTATTTGTAAAGTTATTTGAAGCTGGTTTCTAAGCAATTTTTTTTCATTTGATATAAACGTTAGTTACTGAGCATAAATAATTTTTTTTTAGCAGAAAGAAAGGAATTAAAAGTAAGATAAAAACTTGTCTAATATGTAAATTTATTTTTTTAATAACTTTTTCAATATAAACTACTAAAATTTATAAATAATTATGAATATTTATAGGGATATATTCTGTTACTCTTGAAAATTTTTATATGTTGTAAACTGAATACATCTGATCCCTTTCATTATAACCTTTATAAGTAAAAGTAATCCTTAGAAAAAAGCCTATATATCCACTCATGAGTTCTCTTATCATAATTTTAACTAATTATACCTTCCTTCCCTGAATTATTATTAACTTTTTGATTATTTAATTTCTAGTAGTTATTAACTTGATAAATAATCAAAAAAATAACCAAAAAAGTATTAATAATTTAATTCGATTTAAAAATAAATTAATTATTATTAAATAGTTCGTCATAATTAAATATATCAGGTTTATAAATAACTACTTTTGCAAACACTATTACTCAACTTATTTTATCTAAATTCAATATCTATAACACATAAATGTTTTTTTTTGTGACTTTTTTCTTAGATTTTCACATCATGTTTTTTGATTCCATATTTTATTTCTTCCTTAATTCTAGTTCGAATACCTATACCCTATCCTAATAGAAGATAAATATACATAGTATTTATTATTAATATAGACTTTAAATATCAAGTATCTTTTTTTATGTATTAAAATTAAACAATCCATATAAATATTTCATTAAATTTAAAATAAAAATAAATCTATAAGATGTCAAAAGTCAATGATACACAAACCACTAATGTACCTATGGTGGTTACACAATAAGAAATAAATGAATAAGGGATATTTAATGAAACTTCTAAAGCATTAGGTTGGTATTAATATTTTCCTGAATCTCCTATCGTTGCTAGTCAAGAATATTCAAGTCATGACCAGCAAATGCTATTTATTGTCAAGCTATACATATTTTTAGCTGGTTTGTTCATACTACAGTATCTAATGGTCATAATGTTTTATTATTCCTTCGAGTTCAGATGGAGTTTAATCTTTTTAGGATACCCAACTCCTTTGTATTGGGTTATTCTTTCATGTACAATTTTGTTAGGATTAATGGCTTATTTAATAAAATTGTTCAGAAGAGTAATGTAATTTTTATATAGAATAGCCTCCCTTTAATCTGATTGTATATTTCTTGTATTCCTTTGGAGTAGGGTGTGTCTTGGCAGCACCATATGCTGAACAACTCTGGTGGAATGAAAACAGTTTGATAATAATCTTATATTAATTTTGCATGACTGTATGTACATTTGGGACAATTATTGCATATAAATTTAAGGATTCTTAATTCATAAATGCTTCATGTAATATATAATCTTATGTTTAGACATTTTGTTAATCGCACTTATACTTGATGTATTCATCATATTTATTTTTATAATGATATACACTGAGTTAGCTTGGCTGATAGTTATAAGTGTACTTATTCATTTAATCTATGTATGTCTACTATTATTTGAAACCAGATTAATATAGAGAGGAAAAGTATTTGATATAATAATTTTAGTTTAACCTTAATTTGGATGAGTATATATCAGGTGCACTCTTTATTTACTTAGAAGTAACTCTATTTGTAATTTTTGTGGGCATTTTATTCATTATCTTTATGGTAGTGGCATTTATACTGCTAATCGTAGCTTTTATTGCACACAAAAAGTGAAAATATAATATAAAGTTTAATCTTATTAACATTTAATAATTTGTTATTTATAATTTTCAATCCTATATATCTCTTATAATAAAATTTTTATTTCTAATTCTGTTAATGAGGTAGATTGAAAAAATAATTCTATTATTTAGAATTTCTATTTACTTCTATGTAGCAGTTGAACTTATTTAAGAATATTTTACACTTAGAAATTAAATTAAGAAATTAACATAATTTATAAAATAATTAAAAATATTAAACATTATTATTATTTGTCTCTAAAAAGAAATGGATTATATATAGTACAATATATATAAAATGATTATTTTTGTTTAACAATTCCTACTTTTTCATTTTTTGCAAAGAAAAATTGATTTATATTAAATTAAATAAATTTCTATTATGAATTCAAATATTTTCTGTATATTTTCTTACCTTAATATCCTTTGAATTTGAATCCCAATATATTAAAAATTCTCCATCATTACTTAATGTACCAAAAATATTTCCTTCACTCTTCTAATCACAAACAATTTGATATTCATATTCGCAATCTAAAAACTAAATGGAATAAGGGGATTGTAAGAATCTTAAACAATTTATACTGCATCCATTTTTTATTATCAAAATATTTTTCTATTTATTGTATTGAGATGGATAGTAACACATACAAGATTGTTCACCTCCATGAATTGGAATATTTTATGTATTTATATACGCTTCCTTTGAAGGTGCTGTCGTACTTAGTTTATAAATTCGAAGATCATTAGAGGAGTAGGGTAAAAATACAAAGGTGTGATTATTTATAAATTTCAATCTATAACCTCTTCTATTCAATTAAATAACCTATTTAACATCCCATTATTACTAATTATGTTATTTTTCGATTATTAATATCTTACAATCTTATCCACAAGTAATTAATTGATTACCATCCTCATTAAATGAGCACTCATAAATAGTATTTGTATGCTCTTTAATTGTTTGAAAACAAGACCATTCAGAAGTAGCAGGAGCTTAGGAAGACCAGAATTACAATTTGCCATCTCCTGATCCACTTATAAAGAGGTTTTCATTGATATGATTTAATGCAACGCAACTTATGAGTCTAGAATGTCCTTTTAACTTCATCATATACTTTGGATTTATCATAAGAATTGAGAACCAAATAATTATTGATGCATCTTAAGAACCAGAAACAAAGTTTGGTCTCTATTTAAAAAAATTAAGAGTAGTGACCCAATCTGTATGTTTTTATATTTATTAGAGTTGTTTCATCTATCCATTTTTGAATTAAAGTATTTTAATATTTTTATATGCTGAATAAGTTAAGAGTGTATTACTATCATTAATAGCTATGGCATAGCACAATTGCTATTAATGAATCCAATCTTTTGAAATAAGCTCATATTGATATGGCTTATTATTTAATTAAATAGAAGCACAACACTCTTAATTTAACATACTAAAAATTATTTATTATGGATAACAAATAATGGTTCATCATTTTTAATAACATCAATAGAAAAATCTAGAATGTTCTGTGCGATTTAAACCAATAAAGAATTTTCCTCCAAATTATTTTATTTCTTATTAAGATTATATTTAATTAACAACTTTCTAGTATTTATAATAATCAAAAGTCAATTTCTAATAATAGACATTTCTAAAAGATAATCATTAACATTTTGCAATCTAATCCATTTATTCATTTGATCAAATTTATTTCTATAAATTAATTTGAGTATTCGAATTTACTGTTATTATTAAATTAAACTGTGTCATCATTTAAGGAAAAATATATTAAATATAAGTAAGAAGTTAAATTTGAGGAATAAGATAAGAGACTTTAATGATTAAAAATAATTTTGTAATTTATAAGGATTGCTAATTACACTAAGTATAAAAAATTTAAAATGTAATCGTAATTAAATGATATCAACCTATTCATTGAAAGAAAAATCATATCATTTATAAATAATTATTAAACTTAATTTCTTAAAATCTTTTTTAAACCAAATTTCTTTTTTATCCAATTATCATGGTATTGATATATTTTATGATAAAATAAAAATAAACCAATTAACATATTTAAGAAACTATTAGATTGAATTTGATAATTAAATCTAAATTCATTAATGAATTATTTTATTTTCAAAAAACAATTTAATGGGATAAGAATTATATTTATAATTATTAACAATGAAAATATTATTTAGATATAATTTCATATTTTTTATCTTCAACAATCAACTCAAAGTATCTTATGTTGGTATTTACTTTTGTGATTATCCCAAAATATTTTTATTTCACTTAAAATATTATAAAAACTAGATTTAATAATTAAATAATAATGATTGACATATTGAAATCATTAAAAGTTTTGAGAATTAAAAGTATTGAAATTTGTGCATTTGATACTTCATTCTAAGCAAACAAAAAAAGTTGAAAGATGATTTGTTAATATTTAGAAAATCTATTTCGTATTTTTATTCCACAATATATGTGTGATTGATTAATGAAAACGAAATTTGTAGTATAAATAAATCAAAACATTATGGTATTTATCAAATTATTATTTTCCTAATTTATGTAAAAAGCAAATATAAAAAAATAAGCAATGAATTTGAAATTACTTTGGTGATTATCGAAAAAATTTTTGATAAACTCCTCTCCAATTAATTTAGTTAATTACTATTTCGAATTGTTATTTAAAATCCAACATATATAAAGCAACATATTAATCATCTGATTATTCGATGTATTTAATATCCAAATTATTAATGGGAAAAAATATTAAACTAAAAGTCTAATTTTAAATAAATATAACAGTCTAATTTAATTTATTCTAAAATTTAATTAAATTTTATATTTTTATAATATTTTCATAAACAGGTAGACCAACTATAAAATTTATTATTTACACCGAGTTCCTAACAATTTTAATTATCTTCTAAGATTCACTAAAGTAATTGAATATGCAATTAATCATCTAATTGATAAAACCATAAAAAAATATTATTTGATATCCAAAATACCTATTGGAAGTCCTTTTCAATATTTGGCTATACGAATTTGTCATTTAGTATGATTACTTAAAATGGATATACTACTATCTTGTTTTAATTTAAGAATACAATAGTTTTTATTTTTATACAGTAGGGTAATATATCTATGCAATCTTAAATTTCTTCAACGAATTGCAAAAGTCCCTTCAATTTAATATTTGAATTGTCTTTAATTGTAAATTATGTATAGGGGCTAAAAATACTTTAGAAATTTTTTTATTTTCAAATTTTCATGCTTTTGAATTGTTAAAGTAGTCTAATTCTCTTAAGAATATAAAAGCTGACAGTCATTTTATATTAGGATGTTTAATTAGATACCATTTTCAAATTTGTAAGTTGGATTTAATGTTATGTGATATGATTATAATAATAATTTTTAGTTACTAATATCAGTTTAAATAAGTGCAACTATCTCATACAAATAATGGTAACAGATTTATTCATTATTCAAATATACTAAAGTATTATTGATAAATTAAAAATAAGTATCGTTTGTTGATATATAGATTTTTATTCTTATATTGATCATTATATCAATCAATTTAATTGTTGTAATTTTTAAACTATATGTAGCTATAAAATAAGATTATTTTTTCAATTAAAATAGATAGTTTCAGATATGAATAAGTGTCTAATCTTTTATCTTTTATAAATACTATATTGTAAAGAATTTGAGAAATAATATTTTTTAAGTGTATAATTGCTGAACTAATGTAATTCATATTCGTCAAGATGATATAAAATTATTGAGTTAGTTTGATCATGTATAATTTAAAATAAAAAATGAGATATGCTGCCCAAATTAAAAAGAGATCCTTTAACCAATTTTTAATTTAAAAAAATTAGACGTCTGATAATTAAAAACATTTTACTTCTCCATTTAATTCAAAAGCAAGAATATTTTTATATTGAATAAATTTATAAAATCCAAGCTCTTTATAGTAAAGTATTTTATCTGGCAAATATAGATTTTATGAAAGCTAATTAGTACGACTTTATGAAAAAGGTTCTATAGATATTAAGATTGGAATTTTCATATTGTTAATATAAATAATAATTGATTAAGAGATTTATTAGACTCTTATTATTTCAATATTAGATTGAATTTATATTATATTTATTAAATTAGAAATAAGTTAAAGCATTTCTATTTTCATCTTATTTTTATCAATTATATAGTAATCTCCTAGATATTCTAGTATTATTGAAAACAAGTATCTCACTTCATTTCAAATTAATTAGTGTTTATGCTCATTGATATTTGGTTTTATTAACAATTAAAGAAATATATCTTATTTTCGTCATTAAATAGATATAATTTACATTTTTCATAGATTATCTAGAAATCTTACTATACTCAATCTTACAATTCCAGTTTAATTATTATAAAGTTCATATTCTTTTTATAGAAATGAAGAAAAGACTGGAATTTTGAGTTTATTTTACTATAAATCTTAGCATTCACCAAACCTATCAAGTTTCTTTAGTAAATATACAAATTATTATTTAGGTTAAATATCACCACTAATTGGAAAATAACAATAGAATTATAATTAATCTTTAGATTTATCAATTTAATAAAACAAATTATCTTATTCTAAAAAGTTAAAGATGAATTCAAAATTTTATATTTTTAATTTAGATGTTCGTCAATTCTAATATTTAATTCAGTTTAATTTTATAGAAAGAGAAAATTGGAATTTGATCTTTATCAAAAGACTAATTTAAAACTATTTCATTAGATAATAGCCAAACTTATTGAACTCACTTAGATTCTTAATTGTTGGATCCTTTCTTAAAAATAATATTAAATTATACTAAAATTATTTTTATACATTATTAAATAATTTAAATAATATATAGTAATAGAATGCTTAAATAAGATTAAGAATTTTAATGTTTTTTAGTTGACAATGAATATTCAAATTTAGTTGACTAATAGGAGACTTTTAAAAAGATTGACAAATAAACAGACTCTTAATTTTGTAATTTTCTTAAAAATAAAATTTTAAATGATAAAAACAAATTAGAGCAATTATTGATAAGAATTAATGATTAATGGAATAAAAATTAGATAGTAGAACTTAAAAGAGAAGAAATATTTACTTTAATCATATTAATGTTTCTTAAATTAATATATAGATAAAAATAGTTTGGAGGGTTTTATATTATTAATATGGAAAATTTAAAGAGAGCTTAAAATTAACTTTGTTATTAGAAGATGTTATGTATAGAGAATTATATCATGTTATACTACTAAAATTAAGATAATGTTTCAAAGTTTTCATTTGATAGTGATGAAAAAGTGATATTTAAAGATTAAATTATTAAATTCATAAAAAATACTCAAAATTGAATTTTAATACAAATAAGATGATGATAAGTGCAATTAAAATAAAAATATAGATATAACCAATACTAAAAATGAAGATTAAATGAATTCAACTGTTGTTGACTTTGCAAATCAAAATATTGGAGGTTAGTAATGATTGTGCATAAGAAGAAGAAGTATATAATTATTATAATAATTAAGATTCTTATACTTATATATCCAGAAGCTTTAGTATCTATGATATTTATTCCTCCTATGCAGGTATATGAGGCAGTTTTAATCAAAAATATAAAGAAATACTCAAATTATTTTGGATATGAGTAATCTTTCAGATGGAGATAATTAAATAATTTCATAAACTAATTTTATAATATGCTAGTAATTATTTTACATATTGGAGTCATTGATACAAATTCCTTAGTGGAAGTTATATGTAATTTAAGAAGCAAAATTTTGATAGAGAAATGCGTAAATGTTACTCATGATTTTCATTAGCTTTAAAACACTAACCTGATTAAGATATTTCAACAGGATGATGGGGATGTGGTATATTTGGAGGAAATCAGTATTTAAAAACTATTATTTAATTGACTTGTTTTGCTTAAGCAAAATATGAAACAAATTAGAGTAAGGCAAAATTAATAATTAATTCTTCTAGTAATGAAGATCTAGTTCAATTTGGAAAAATCTTTAATAATATGAACCACTATTAAATTTATAGGATTTAAAACAATTGATAAAAATTCTCTTAGATTTAATTTAAAAATGATCACTAATTCTAGAAAAAGAAGATAGATTACCTTTCTTCATTAATGAAATGAGAATAGTATATTCAATACTATTACAGATTATATTATAAAAAATACAATTAAAAAATATTAAACTTCCAGATGGTTTCTATATATGTTTATTTGATATTTAATAATAGTAAAGATGAATTTATAAATCATTACATTAAGATATAGCAATTAATTTTCAATAATTGTAAATTTTAATTGCAATAAATAATTTTATTATTTGTATAGTTTATATAAAATAACAGATTACAAGTTTAAATACAATTATGAATTAAAAAATTAGAAGTATTATATACTAAAATATTGTATTATTATTATTCATTCTGCTATTTATCCTTCATAGTAAGATGTGAGAGGCAATTCATATCAAACATCAAATAAGTAATAGTTTAATGATCAATACTAAAATTAAAGAAAAAAAATGATGTATTAAAGATAAATATAAATATAAACATAAAGTTATCAAGTAGAATAACTTTAAGATTAAGTTTAAATATAGTATTATTTTTTTGAAGATTTTTAAAATTTTGATTAACCTCCTCTATTCATTATAAACAGTATTTTTTTGAATACTTTAAAAATGATCCAAATAACGAAATTGTAACTTTTTATAGAAATAAAGTAATTTCTTAACTAAATATGTCAAATTTACTTCACTATAATATATAATATAAAATTACAAAGATCCAAAATATTAATAATTAATAATAAGGGAGAAATAGAAAGTGAAGGAAATTATCTAACAATTACCATATCCTATTCAAAATTCCAAATATTTAAATTTATATCACTAAAATAGTTTATCTGACTACATAAAATGCAATTAATAACAACTTGAAAAGATTGACAGAAAAATTGGTCAAATAAAATAATAGAATTACTATCCCATCCCTAAAAAAAATGATATCTTAGCCAAAGCAAAGTATAAGTATTAATATAGATAGGTAATATGAAATGTTGACATAATCCAAATTAGAATCTAACTTTCC